AAAGCAGAACATCTCCAAATTTGAGTGTTCCACAGACAGCAACTTTGGTATGGAAAAATAACTGTCTACGCTTCATCAATAATCAAAATAGTTAGTGATTAGTTCTCCGTCAATTGACTGATACATTATTTCACTAATTGTTGCAGAAATAGACAATTGCTATTATTAAGCCACACACAGAGGCTAGTAGTAAAAGAGGTTAACCTGTCCTGTGAATCCTCTTCTACGTTTTTCTGTGGAGGGCTCTTCACTCTGTGAGCAGATGTTTTCACACCGTTATCCGTCCCTTCAGATGACGGGAGTTGGGGAACCACTTTCACCACCCAGTTAAACATCCTGTTGAACACACACACACATAGTCAGCCCCTAAAAAGCCCTTTATGAAACGTAATGCTGTTAATAATGCTAAATTATAATAACACTTCCCTGGTGTTTTCATTAAAGCAGCCACTTCACCTCAAACCAAGGGCCCTTATTAGGAGCTAATGAGCTCTGATGATGATCGTTCACCAGCTCCATCTTTGCTCTCATCTGAGAACACACTTTTGCCAACCTGATATATCTTTCTGTACAGTGTTTAACTCGTAAATCGGAAAACTGTCTTTAATTTCGCATCCAACCGGTGGTGCTGCAAGACACTCTGGGGGCCCCGGCAGAGCGGAGATTACAAAACTGAAATTATGAAGCAGCTTTTGACAGCGCGCTATGCATGGAGGTTCTCGACATGTCATTGCAGTAAATTAAAGGGGGTTTCATGTTGTCGTTGCTGTGGACCAATTTAATCTACCTTCTTTGGGGGCCCCCTTCTGGTCCGGGGCCCCAAGCAGTTGCCTGCCTTGCCTGCCGGCAAACGGCGCCCCTGCATCCAACACATTTACAGATTATCAAATGGTATATGTTGCCTAGAATATAAAATATATAATCCTTGATCTAACACATCAGAACTGATGTTCTGAGTCAAAAGTCAGAGGAGACTTGGGGCAAAGGGGCAGAGGCTATCTCGGGCGGTAGTTAATAATCTGCTTTACCAACCTCCTCCAGAGGTCAATCAGTTAGATAGGAAGAAATCAGACACAAATGTACAGGAAGAGGGCATTTTCAATGGCCCAGTGCAATGAAAATTGGGAGATAGATGAGATTTACTGCGCCAGCAAGAGCCCCCCTTTTCTGATTTACTCTTAAATGTGACGTTCTTCCCCACGACAGTTTGTTAACCTTTTGAGATAATCCACTTCAGCAGTGGGGCAAGGAGCTACTGAACTTGCAAGATGTCCTTCTAAAAAAAAACGTTCCACATAGCAACAGGTATACGTCATAGATCTACTATGGTTGAAAGAAAAAGCCTAAATAATTAACTTCTGCCTGTCTGTCCATTATACAAGAACTAGGAGAACAAACCCAAAATGTCACAAAAAAGACGTGTCACGGCTCTCAGAGTTAACACATTGTTTTTTTTTTATTGTGGGATTTGTTATCTACTAGGAAACTGTTCACATATAATCCCCATGGAAGATGTCCTTACAAAGCAGATTGAGCTGTTGTTGTGATCACAGTTTGTGATTCTTGACTCTGCCAATCAGCACAGATCAGTGGGGCCTCTTGCCCAGGCTAATCTCAAATGTGTTGCATTGGATTAAATAGTAGCTCCGTTCTTTCACTAATCTACAGCTAGCCTTTTTTGCTGATTAAGGCCTGGATCAATTCCTGACATACGCCTACATCCCACAGGATTACAATCAGTCATTAAAAGATCGTAAATCAGAAAAATACACCCCTAGGATAGACCTATAACTTTTTTTCTCAACTGATTTTGTTTGTAATTTAGGTAGGATTTATGAAATGTAAAACCTGGCAATGCATACTTTGATAAAACACAAATCAGAATCTATAGCAAACATCTAATCACATCCAAATGTCTGCTCATATAAACACTCTACAACTGCAGATTCACACACTGTCATTTGACCAAGGCACAGATCCTCACATTCTACAAATGAATGTAATCTGTATTTTAAATGATGTATTTTTTGAAAGCATTGTTACCTTACCTGCGTGTCTACAGGTGTTTTTGCATGCCGGTGGCGTAGAGATCCAGAGTGCGGCACAGCCAGCACAGTTCTGCTGGGATTTCCGCATAGGTTGCCTGGAGCTAACAGGATTACCCAGCACCACCTGAAGGTCGACGCACAATCCTGTACCGTGAGCAATCCCAGATTAACAGAAGCAGAGAAACGATGATGATGTAATCTACATACTGTTATCACTCCTCCTCGATCACTGAGGACAGCAATAAATGGTGACTCAAATAATCCCAGACTCTAGGGAAGGTAGAAAGGGAAAACATCCAGTTGCAGAATTTCAACTCATTACACAAATAAAGTGTAAAATGCAAACCAAGTATTTTGAATGTTTTGTATAAGCATCTTGATAATTTTGTATTTAACATGTTACACTCCACTTCTCTACCAAAGGAGGACACTTTTTTTAATGATTTATACTGTCAATAGGGGATTTGTTTTACTCTTTGGATAATACACAACGGTAGCCTTCAAGGAGAAGCTGTACTCTCCCTTCTCCCTCCTCAAGCTTTTCATCTCTGTTCCATATTATCTCCCGTCCATTCCTGATTACAGGTGTATCCCCCCCACGCACTCAGTGACGCAGGGCCATTTCCTGGCTGACAAGCAGCAATAAACCTTCTGATTTATTAACAGTCAGGAGGAGACAGAGGAAGCCAAAACGTTAGTAAGGCTCAGGGTCTGACAGGACTCTGAATGATCTAGCCTACTTTCTTTCTTGTTCCTACAGCCATGAAGACCCCAGCTCTATCAGCAATGGCTACAAAAAGCCATTAATTCATGCATGTCTTCAATATGGCAATAGTTGGAAAGTAACTAAATAGGCCTACAATAATTAGTATAGCTGAGTTTAATTTCAAAGCTCTTGAGTATATTTCATGTTTCTGTGAACGTATAATTCTACTTTACTGCAATTCAGAGTAAAATATACCTTTACTTTTTAACTAAACTCTAGTTTAATTTGGCAGCTATCGTTACGTTTTAAGGTTTTACAAAGAGCAGGGCTACAGCATGCTAGCAGCTCTGTCTAAGCTAAATGCTAGTGCTCACATGCTAAATGTTAATATGCTACCAGGCTAATGTTTTGTTTACTCTCTTAGTTAGCGTGTTAGCCTCAGTTAGCCTGCTAACACATAGCCTACTGATTAGCGTTAAAAGCCGAGTACATCAGAATGCTTATGGGAATAACATTTGCAGGTTGTTATACATAAAATGTGTTTTGTTACCTGATGATTGAAATAGATTTGAAATGAAGGAATCAACAATGCTATTACAATTAATCTCGAGGGAAACACTTAATCTGCATCACAGTTGTTGATGGACCAACATTGCCATGCCTTGAGCTTCCTTGGTAGCAACACGGCTTATATGGTAACCTTATAAAACCTACTAAAACAATATATTGTAATGTATTAAAGCAGTTCTAAAAAAGAACCTACTATGGTGGTTTGTAGTCAAAGGAGTTAGGAATTAAATCCACAAACTGTAGTAGGCCTACCCTACTAAACTGTATAACAACTGACCTACATTTAAATACCAACCAGATAGGTGTGTGCATTGTTGCTTTATTATTATCATCATCAATCTAGTCATAGAAGACCCTTTCCTATGTTGTGATTTTTTTTAGATATTTTCAATTTGTACATCACTGAACAAACTGAATACTTCTTCCTCATGTGTTTGACAGGGACAGTGAAAAGGGAAAGTGATTGGCATGATCCCTGAGAGTTTTTAGCAAGGATCCAGGACTCCCCTAATGGTAAATTGTAATGTTGACAGCGATTGACAGACAGGTGGAGAACATTCACCAGGTCAGACATGTGCATAACTCACTTCATCCAGTGGGGCCTGTTCCCTGCTTGAGAATGAGAATCACAGGAGAATTGATGGTGGTGATGAGGCAGCGGGCAGATCCCATTATCAGCTCAGCAGGGGATAAGCTTGGAGAACAGGTGACACAGAACCTTCCAACCAATGGCTGGAATATGTCAGCATAGTGGCCTCAATCCTAATTGAACATCTGCATAAGACACAGAGCAGCGGCAGTTTTGAAAAATACTCTTAGGAGAGGTAGAGAATGTAACTAAAGTTTTGCAAGCTAAGCAATGGTCTATGATTGTCGAGAAACTTTGCAGAAAAAAATAGTGGTGCACACTATTCACATTTGGTTAAAATGTTAAACCAAATGTGTTCAATTGTATTTAAGAGAATTAAAAGAACAAGGAAAAGCAATGATGAGAAGATATTTTGAAATAAAGGTAGAAAAGTGGCTGAAAGAGAAAGCAGATGTATAGGTAAAGCTTTAGTCGTTTAGTGGATGTTCTGTGATGGAAGCTAATCCTGATTACCTCAGACATGCAGGACGCAGCTCTCACGCAGTTACACATCTTACACATAAACTACACTCATTGCATCTGTTTACCAAGGAGAGTTGTAATGTAAATCTACTCTAATAAAGTCCTGCATAAATATAAACAGGGTAACGCTTTATATTACAAAACAATACAGAGGAATGACCACAAAGTAACAATTTCCATTTTGTAAACTTGGCCACGTGTTTTTGTCATAGAATGATTGTATTTGATGACTGGTTTAAAGCTGGCTAATTGTAAATAAATTAGTTTAATTATATGCTGTTAACAAATGAAGCTGCGTAAAACCATTACAGCTTCCTCTGTAAAATAAATTATCTTTATAAAGAAAGTTAAAATGTATTATTAAGAAGCATCAAATGGAAATTGCTCAACAAGTACAATAACCTTCCAATCTTACAAATGTACTTCATGTCCCTTCTATTTTAGAGGCAACGATTCCCTCTTGTGGCCATCAGTAGAATCGACTCCTTGAACTTGACATGTGCTAAGAATGTTAAAAGGTGTATATTTAAGGTAACATGAAGAAATAAATTGCACTAAAGAAGACTAACAGTGTGTTGCTTTGTTTTATTGTGAAATCTTTAACATACTCTACACAGGAGTGCACAGGCCTTACGGAACATGCCCCGCATGCATCAACATTTTTGTAATAAACTATTGCTGATCTTACAGAAAACCTGAAACAAAAATATACAAAACTACAAATGTTAAGTAGAGTAAAAAACGAACAAAAAACAATTCTAAAAACGTTCCCTCATGCTATGTATAGTAAAAAAAAGGTCCCCAAATATTCACTGAAAAAGGCACAAAGAAATAACAGGTACAAACTAAATATAGACACACTGTAAAAGGCACAAAACCTAATGAAAAAGATTAATGATTTTACTAACTAACTAAATAGTGGCTTTACACATAGAAAAGCAAGGTATACAAAGACAGATAGTGGTAGACTCACTTTCTGCAGTTGTTTATGTGCATTAGGTACCTTTAAATGCTTGAGCTAACTTTCCAGAAGAGTGCAGAAGAAAATGAATACATCTTGGAGGCACAGGAATAAAACAAATCAAACAGAGAAAAACAAAGACTTAAAAGAAACATAAGAGAGGAAAGAATGATAGATGAGGACGGAGGGGGTGGGGGGTCCTCTCTAGCTCAGGACAATAAGAAGAGCAAAAGGACTAGAAAAGGACCTAGGTCAGGAGGCACAACGCCAGCGCTGCCCCTCCCCGAAATCCTTCCTCCCTCTTTCCCTCGCTCCTCCTTTCCCAGAGCAAAACTGGCAAGGAAACTCTGGTAGACCCCCCCCCTCCCACTTCAATCTTTCCTTCCCTCGCATTTCATTCTCTTTCATTTCCTTTTACTCGTCACTTCTATTTTTTATACCTCCTTCTTTCTGCATTTTCCCCAACTCCCCTCTCTCCCTCCTCATGCCTGATACAAATCAGCGGCATGTGGGCTTAATGGAAACCAGACCCTGACCCATTCCTCTCTAGCCTGCAGGCTTCTTCTGTGTACACTTAAATCTATTTAGTTTTAGCATGAAATGATGAAGAAGAAGAGAAGATACAAAGGATGGACACTTCTGCTATTGTTTTACTCTTCACAGGTCAAGCCTAGTTGGAGAGGATGTGTAAAAAACACACTTTTCAATTCTTCTTGTTAACTGTGAATAAATCCCTCCTCCTCTTGCATTTCATCCAAGGCCTGGCACCAGTCGTATATCAATATGTCTCCACTGGGGATTGTGTTTTACTGGTGTAGTCGAAACAGTTATCGTGGCTGTGGTGGGAGGAGGGGAGGCTGGAGCCCTGGTGTCTGTGTGCAAAAAAAACTATATGTGCCTTTGTTTGGGTAAGTAGTCTCTATGTCAATGTGTGTGTGCTTATCTGGACATGCATGCACCAATGAGTGCCGTTAGGGTTTTTTGGAGATCATGTGACGTTGGTGCATGTGTGTGTGAGAGAGGGCTCAGTGGAAAATGGACACACACAGCTGTCTGACATTACTACACGAACACACAAACACACACATCTGTGGAGCAATCTTAGCAAAACAGAAAAGACAACAATATGTAACAAATGTAAAAGTGCAAATGATCTGCTCTAAACAAAGAAAAAAGATTGGTGGAGGCACCGTAGTCAAGCTAATGAAAGTCTTGTTCAACATTAATGCATGTATGTGTATAGCTATAAGCACTCATGTGTGTATGTAAAATATGTGTACTGTATGTGCATTATCGACTTTGTCTGCATGTATACTACAAAAGATCTTTACTCCCTTCTCTGTACAATAAGAATTGGTTAAAAAAAGTGTGTCATCTGACATTCGGTGCCAGAAACTTGTTTTTGAACGCTGGGATAGGAACATATAGTTTTTTCCTTTAAGAAAAAGAGGTTATTTATCAGATGTTTAGAAGGCACAAAGGGAGGCACAGGAGAAACACTGTAGGTCCACTGGCAATGATTTGACCAAGTTTGCATTATTTCACATGAATGGGGACCAAAGCGGTGACTCATCTGTGGCTTTCGTAAACTTGCGTCAAAGCTGCTTTCCACTCTGACGTAAGTACAAACTCTGACGCCAACGGCCGTAGAAGAAAAGTGATGAAATCTGGCTCTCTCGCTTCAAAGTCTGTGCCTCACACCCAGTTCTGCAACGAACGCTTGCAGTGCACCAAGGCCCTCGGCGTTTCCTTCTTCTGTAGAGTCCTGAGGATGCCGTAGATTAGGACGAGGATGCACAGGATGAGGAGCAGAGGAACAATCACCATGATCAGGGTCATGACCTTTGATTCATTGTCGGCCTCCGTCACAACCACGTTGAGCTCTTTGTCCTCCTCCTCTGTGTTGTCAGGCTGAGAGTCTTTGTCTTTGCCGCTGTCCGGCTCTTTGTGCTCATCTCTGCCTCGATCTGAAGGATCCACTGGTTTGCGTTTTGGTTCCTGCTCTGTGTCCGTGTCGGGCTTTGGGTCAGGGGCCCCCACACAGCCCATGAAATCCTTCAGGATGGAGCGAGGGTAGCCTTTCTCTGGTTCTGACTTGCGATTGTCAAACCTCCAGTAGTTGGAGCCTTTGTAGAAATAGGTGTGAGCTGCATGAGAGAAAAATAAAATAGATTTAAGTCAATCAACTCATGTGCAATGGATTATTATGTGAATATACTGTAGACCATGTTTTGATATTTGGTGTCCTTGCCTGTAGGGAGTAACACTTATAACTTCCAAGTTCGTAGCTTGAAAAATTACAAATAATTAAGCAAAATAATTAAACAAAATGCTTTTTGAGGGCATGAAGTGACAAAAACGTTCAACATTCCTCCATTAAACCCCATTGTAATTTCAGGCAGATATTTCCTCACGGTAGCAGCCGCACACCTTTAGTTAAACTGCCAAAAAGGCCTCATTTAACCCGAAACTACACAAAAATTACACTTCAGATACTCAACTTCCTTGACATGCTTCACGTTTTGAAATTTCACAGATATCTGTTATGGTTCTTCCACAAAACATTCACATAAGAGGTTTATCTCTCATTCAGAACAATGAAGCCTTTGATCTCTACAGAGCTCGTTAGCTCAACTATAAACACCTGTGCAATGGAACACGATGATGTCATCACTCCAACTGACATGCTCAGAGCAGCAGACATTTTAACATTAACTAGAGTGTGTGATGTCACAGCTAGAGTGGAGGACAGCTTGAAATTCGCATTCATATATTTTTTTTAAACTGCCATAATTCCCAAACCCTACATTCCTGAGACATAATTTATCATGACAAACGTAGGAAAACATCTCGTAGCTTGAAAAATTACAAATAATTAAGCAAAAATAATTAAACTAAATGCTTTTTGAGGGCATGAAGTGACAAAAACGTTCAACATTCCTCCATTAAACCCCATGGCCATGGCAACACAATGCTCGCCTTGAAACACGGTTTTCTCATAACTTCAGTGAAAATACTCCAAACAGCCTAGAACTTCACAGGTTTGGTAACGATGCAGCCATCAACGCATCTAAGCGTAGTATGGGGTGTCATCAAATGCCGTTGCCATGGCGACGGACCACTCGCCATGAAACACGATGTGGCTGTGCTGTAAGTCCCATCGACACGGTCCAATCGTCCCCCAATCTTCACTTGTATATCACCGGTCCATGCCTCAACAGCTCTACGCCAAATCTGAGATCTGACCATATGCCGTTTCCATGGAAACGCATCCCTCGCCATAAAACATGATGTCGCTATAAGTCCAATGGACACGGTCCAATCGTCCCCCAATCTTCACTTGTATATCACCGGTCCATGCCTCAACAGCTCTACGCCAAATCTGAGATCTCACCATATGCCGTTTCCATGGGCACTATAACTCCTATGAAAATGTTCAAAAAGTTCTCAAACTTCACATATGTACTAACAGTCCAGCCGTGAAGACATCTATAGGACATTTTTGTGATTTCTTCAAATGCCGTTGCCATGGCAACACAATGCTCGCCTTGAACCACGGTTTTCAAAAAACTTCAGTGAAAATACTCCAAACAGCCCAAAACTTCACAGGTTTGGTAACGATGCAGCCATCAACGCATCTAAGCGTATTATGGGGTGTCGTCAAATGTCGTTGCCATGGCGACAGATCATTCGCCATCAAGTTAGTTCACAAGTTTGCAGTTCAAATATTCTGCTGCTATTCCAAGCCTTTTCACTTTCTTTTCTTCTCTCATCACACATTCAAGCCCCCAGTGTTCATGTGTAATTTCAATCTAAATTATTCACTTTTTTTCTTAAACATTACATTTCAGCATAGCAGTTTAGCGTCAGCTTTTCAGCATAAAGCATTCCCACTAGCAATTTCTTCAGGAATTGCATTCTCTAGTTTTATATTTACTGCTGCTTATTGTCAACCATATTTGATCCATGTATGTTGATCTGCTGCCTCTGACATATTACCTGTGAGTTTTAGATTTGTGCATAGACTGGGTACATCTGCAAAAAAATAGCCCTTCTTGGGATAAATATGGTTGTCTCAATCTGAATTCAACATCACAATACAAATGTGTTAATATAAAACTACAAGAAAGTAATTAACTCATAACATGTGATGCATACAGTAAATGCACTACAATTTAGCATCAGAATGCAACAAAATAACTCCATACTGTACTCAGGGCAGATGTATGGGTGTAATTGACACTCTGTACTTCAGACCAGGCTTGCAGAGGCATTTGAAGAGTTTGGGTGGACTTTGCATTTACAGTAGAGCAGCTCTGCCTGACAAAAATCTAATTTCCAAAAGAAAGAACAGGCTAACCCTCAAACCAGAGCTCTCATTCCTCCCTCCTCTCCCTCTTCCTCTCTCATCCCTTCATCCTTCTCCCTGCTCTGCTTGCTCCAGTCTAACTGGCGGCCTCAGATGTAATTGCCTGTCTCTAACACACCCAATTTCACCCCTGTAACCTTTCATTCTTTCTCTCCCTACTCACTCATATTATTCCCCTGCTTTCAACACTGTATGCACAGCTTTGAGGCCTGTTGTGATTTTTATAAACATAAACTATTCCCTTCCTCTAAATAAAGTCTTTATTTGCTCTACTGAAAGTCAATATTTACCGCTGTCATCGCTGAGGAAGGCTCCTTTGGGTGAATGAGGGATTTTGCCCCATCTTTCTATCGGTTTTGGGAAGTCACGGTCTGTAGTGCGGGTCTCCTCATTGTATCGCCAGTATCTGCACACAGAAAGTAAGATGAAGGAGTACATACTAAGTTATAAAAAGTTTCACACTTTTATATATTGGCTTTCTATAAGTTCATGTTTACATGCTTAAATATAAAAAATACACATTATTTAGTGGGAATGCTGTTAACAGCATTCCAACTAACTGTTATTCTACGCACGAAAAGTTTATTATTCTGCCGGTATTTTGGCCCTCTTCTCCTCCCGCATTGAACATCGCAGAAACTCCGTTCAAACATCAAAACGTTCAGCTCGGTCGGGAATCGATGGCTATTACTTTTCTCATTCATAACTTTCATAATTCCAGAGATACATCCCATAATACATCACATTTTTAACATTGAAGTCAATGGAGAAAATCTTCAGACTTCAACAAATCTTCATGCAATTCAACTGCTAACTGTTCATTCATACTTTCACTCAGACACCTCATTCCAACTTTAAAATGTTACACATCTTTCTAAGATCATTCGTGTAAAAGAACTTTTAAATCTGATTCTTACTTTTAGAGATATTAAACATTCTTCAGACCTTGCTTTAGAGGTTTTCTTCACATTTTAACATTAACTAGAGTGCGTGATGTCACAGCTAGAGTGGAGGACAGCTTGAAATTCGCATTAATATATATTTTTTAAACTGCCATAATTCCCAAACCCTACATTCCTGAGACATAATTTAT